CTTAACCTCCTAATTCATAGGTAGATGCTCAATCACTGAGACAAGCTGCCTGGACTATTATTCATCTTTCTCTACTTCCTCTATCACAGGAACTCCCACCACTAGTTAACTACTTATCAAGTTAGTCAAGTAACAGAACTGTAATTTTCTAAACAATAGACTCATTGGCTATACCAAGTTCTAACAAAAATAAACCCCACAACAAAAATCTGAAATTGTGAAATCAGTATTTCACCATAGATTTCAAAGTAAATGTGCTCATCTAGGGCATTTTAACTTTTTCAGAGCAGTAACTTAATAGGAACTCAATGTTGAACAGGTTTCTTCAAGGGGTCTATTTCTCGTTTTCTATATTCTATAGTGGAAATGCAAAAATCACCATTGTCCTTAATAGAATCATAAATATAGAACACCAATCATTTTTGTCAATATATTTAAACTCCGAAACCTTAATATTGCATTCATTTCTCAGCATTTCCTCCTATTTTTTATTCTTCTACTAAAGAAAACAAAAAGCAAAACAGACAACAAAACCTTTAGGATAAGACACAACTAAAAAAAATTAGCCTGCTATATTTGGTCAAACATTGAATTAACATACCCTAATGCTTTGGCAGAGACAGACCAAATGATTTTGCCGAGCTTATTCCGGAGGTTCCCACCCCTGCTCTCTATATAACAAAGGGACTATTAGACTTTTACATACATTGTTTCTAATTGTTTAAATTGATTTTTAGAGAGATGAAAGAAAAGAGAAGCATCTATTTGTTGTTCTACTTATTTATACACTCACTGTTTGATTCTTTTTAAAAAATATTTTTTAAAATATATTTTATTGATTTTTTACAGAGAGGAAGAGAGAGGGATAGAGAGTTAGAAACATCGATGAGACAGAATCATCGATCAGCTGCCTCTTAAACACCCCCCACTGGGGATGTGCCCGCAACCAAAGTCCGTGCCCTTGACCGGAATCAAACCTGGGACCCTTCAGACCGCAAACTGACGCTCTATCCACTGAGCCAAACCGGTTTCAATTGACTTTTTTAATTGACTTTTAGAGAGAGCAAAGGAGAGGAAGAAAGAAACATCGATCAGCTGCCCCTGAATGGAACCAGCCCGAAACCTGGGCATGTGCACTGATTGTGAATCCAACTATCAACCTTTGGGTGCACGGGCGATGCCCAACCAACTGAGCGACACCAGCCAGGGCCGTTGGTTGACTATGTGGTTTTGCATGTCACCGATTAAAAAAACAAACGAATCTCACCCCCAATAAATTACCTACCAAAACTTCCATTCACTCAATCACTATCTGCCTCATCTCAGTTCTGCCCTTTTCCTTCCTGGGTGGGAAACCGCAGACCGCGAGGAAAGCCACACGGATTGGCTGAGTGAGCCCAGCCCACAGTGGGTGACATCACACCGACAACTCCAACAGCCACGGTGCGGGTCCACGCTTCCTTCGGGTGAGAACGGCCACCGGCCAGGACCTGAGACAACCACCACCACGTGCCTCACGTGACCACAACGAACTAAAAGACCGTTATTCCCATTTTACAGACAGGCTGCTCAGAGAGGTTAGAGAATCCATCCGCCACACCCCTGACAGTGGAAATGCCACGATTCAGACTCGAACACTTAGCGTTGGTCCCTCCCCAGCCCTGACCAATGTCTGTCCCCCTCCCCAGCGCTTCTCCGACACGCAGCCTTCCGCCACCCACCGGCACCAAGCCACAGATGCGCTGCCCGGACGACCTCTCAGCTCCCCGGTCTCTGGAGGCTGTGGGCCTCCCTCTCCAAGGGAGCTCCCGCTCGCCCAGCCCTTCCGACCCCCCTACACCCCATTGTTCCCGACCTCACTCACCTCGGAGAACGTCGGCGAAGGCCGGGCCGGGGCACCGGTGGCAGGCTCCCGACCGCCCAGGAAGCCGGGCCGGTGACGGCAGGATCCGCGAAGGCGTACCCGGCGACTTCTCCGCGGGCCCTCGGGAGCCGGAGCATGAAGGGGCGCTTCACCCTCCTCGCGAGACAGCGGAGACCCCGGCGGCTGTTGTGACCCCTGTGACGTAAAGCGCTCATCACCAATGGTAACGTGGACAAAGCGCAAAGCCCCGCCCCCGAGGCCGCCGGCGCGTCAAAACAAAACACCCGCCTGCGTGACGCATGCGCACTGGGAGGGCGCCGGCCCTGGGGGCGGAGCCAGGTGCGCTCAGCCCCTCCCCCTTTCTCCCTCCTCCACCTCCCCTTCCCCCCAGTCCCCTGCGACCGTTCAGGGCGCGAGCGCGCCGCCGACCCTCCCCGGCACATATCCCTCCGAAGGTCTCGTTACTCATCTCTGGAGGTTACAAAAGGCAGTCACTCAATGTTCGCTCCCAACTTGGCACGAAAACTAGTGGGTCTCATTTAAACCTATCCAAACTCTGCGAGAAGTTACTAAAAGAATCTCTTGGTAGTATGGAAAGGAACTGAGTGACACGGAGGTGAAGCCACTTTACCTCCTAGGAAACAACAACTCCGAGATGGGAATGGAACCCAAAGCCAGGGCCCAAGCAGGATGCTGGTCTTCGGACAGAAAGATCGACTCCAGTCGGAATAAACAGAAATCCGCTTGAGGACACGGCCTTGAAATCTTCGCAAAATAGACCGTTTTTCTACCAAGACTGCTTTCCCCTTCGCCACCCCCCAAGTCAGGGTTAAAACCCTATTTTTTTTTTTTTTTTACGATGATATCTGGGATGGACCCCGGAGAGAGAAAACACTGCCCCTAACGCGGCCCCAGCCCCGGCCCCGGTCCTCCCCTCCGGCCGCACGTGCGAGCGTCCCGATCATCCCGGGGCCAAACTCGTGCCAGCGCCCCGAGCCCAACTGCCGCCCGGGAGCTTCCCCTTTGACTCTCTATCTGACATATCTGACGCATAACAAACACTTGTTGATTGGCAGGTGCAGGACGCCGGAGAGCGGACGCCACGTTATTGCTCCTTAGAAGTCGCCATTTACATTAAACGTTATGAAAGACTCTGCTTGCTGAATTAACGGGATTCCCACAACGACTTGTCACTGTTATATAAATGTTCTATCACTGTTATATAAATGTGGTATTGTTTACGCCAAAGGTAAACACACGAAAGACTTATCCATACGATGTGGGAACAGATGCCACGGGAAACGTTAATTCTCCCAGAGTTAGACGCCCGGGGTCCTATTTAAAATACATACTAGCTTTTCCAAATAGACTTTAAAATGCACAAGACGGTACGTTACCTTGCATTAAAACTGCACTGCAACTGAAAGAACCCGTTGGCGAGGTGCGCCTAACTCTCTCTAAACGGCAAAGAATTTAAATCCTTCGCCCCTGGGTCTGACTCCCCTGCGGGAAAGGCGGTCCCGGCCCGCGGTCCCGTGGGCCCGCCCCCCGCTCCGGGCGGAAGCGGCCGCCGCGCGGCTGGGAAAGGCTCCCGGAGGCCAGGGGGCGGGCCTTCCTGCCCGGATGTAAGATGGCCGCCGCCGCCGCCCGACAGCCGCCGCCCCGCAGGTTGCGCTAGGAGGGCCTGCAGGGCCTGCCCGCGCCCGCGGATCGCCGTGGTCTCCTTACCATGAGGCCAGTGAGTCGCCGCACCCTGGACTGGATTCGCTCCGGGGTAGGTCCCGGGCCTGGCGAGGCTCCACGGTGTCGGCGCCCTCGTCCTCCGTGGCGGAAGCCCCGTATTTCTTCAGCTCCCACAAACTCAAAAACCCATTCCTGAATTAAGCTTTTCTCTCCCTCACCTGGCTCCGCCTCTTCCTGGAGGACACGCTCTTCCGCTTCTTACGTAAGGACAGTGGGGTGGATTCGCCTCCAGAATTCCATTTATTCGTTTGTTACTGTAATTTCCACCTTAGCAACCTACATGGCAACCAATGGGGAAAAGGCAGCGAGGACGTACTACCCACACTGAATTTTTTTTTTCTTTTACTCCCCCTCTTGCTTTCTTTTAATTTTTAATTTATTTATTTTAGTTGCTCCTCGCGATCGTATTACTTTCCTGGGGATATGTCATCTATGCATCGACAGTAGCCGCTCGACGACAACTAAGGAAGAAATACCCAGACAAAATATTCGGGAATGAATGAAATTTATAATTCCTCTAGATTTTACTCTATGCAAATACTTCATGTTTACCTGGTACATGTCTATATTTAAAGTAAAATCCACAATATAAAGTTTCCAAATTTATTATTGCATACAGCCCTTTATAAATAAACCATGAATGTGCTAACTTTTCCAATTCGTGTACTTTTAAATTCTCATATAACAAAGCATCCTAGATCTGACAGCCTGAGTATCAGATCATAGATGAAATGACATGCATTTCAATTTAGAGTTCCTAAAATACTTTTTTAAATGCCTCCGAAAGCTACCTTTAAAACAAGTGTGTGGACTTTTTAATCTTATATCTGTTTATTACATTTTAAAAATATATTTTATTGATTTTATACAGAGAGGAAGGGAGAGAGATAGAGGGTTAGAAACATCCATGAGAGTCATCGATCAGCTGCCTCTTGCACACCCCCTACTGGGGATGTGCCCGCAACCAAGGTACATGCCCTTGACCGGAATCGAACCTGGGACCCTTCAGTCCCCAAGCCAACGCTCTATCGATTGAGCCAAACCAGTCACGGCTGTTTATTACATTTCATTCTGTTTCATACCTACACAACAGACTAGATTAAGTATTGTGTAAGAAAAAAATTATGTGACTAATTTTCTACATCTTGTTTTCTGACACAAGATTGGCCAGAAAAAAGTGATTGTTCATATTTTTTTAAGCAGGTCCAGTTTGTATTTATTGTTAAATAACTAAATAAAGACTTACATTGTACAGTGTTTGGGAAGAAATAAGCAACACATATCTGAGAGTAAACTTTAATAATATTAAAGTTACTTTTCCAGAGAATATGTTCAGTAAATATGATAATATACCAACAAAACTTAGGCTCATATGCCTTTGAAATTTTAATCTTCAATGATGTTGATCAGGAAATTTTTTCATTGGTGGAATTACTTCTCCAGTCTCCAGAATTATATCACCCTAGGAAAACAAACACATATTAGTAGAAAGATCTTGTCTGCAAGGTATATCCACTCAGTCAGAACTCACACTGAAAACGTAGTTCAGCTTTGGCATTCACAATATAAAGGGACTGAGACAAAGCAGTGGCTGTCTAAAGATGGGAATCCAGTATTCAAAAATCTTAAGGTATAAGGGAAAGAATAGGGGAAGTTTCACTCAAAACAAAATGACGAGAAAGAGCATGAAAGTAGTCTTCACAAAGTGATAAAGGAATAATGTTTATTTGCAAGGCCCAAGAAATAGAAGAAGCCCGAGAAAAAACTTACAGAGAAACACCTTTAGCTCAATATAAGGAGGTAATGTATTTCCAGCAATTAAATGTTAGGCAATCAGCAGTTTATTGTTTGGCCCACATAGCAGAGTCAGAATGCAAACTTTGCCTGGAGAGCTGGTTCAGGTGTCTTTTCAAATCTAGATAGAGTGTGTGTGGTAGAAAAGGCATGGGCCTTGGAGCCAGAACCAAGTGGTAAGAATCCTGGGAACTCCATTGACAAGCTATATAATTTCAGGCAAATGACTAAGCTTTAGTTTCAGGTTTGTGCTCAAGAAAACAGATTCTGTCAACCTGACAGTCAAGAATGACTGGGTAGAGTAGAATTATCTCTCATCCCCACCCCAGCCATTTCCTGACCTGGTACTGCTTAGAATTGTTATTTAATAAAAAAATTAAAAAAAAAAAAAACAACTTTGTTTAAGCCATTATACATTTTGGGGATAATTTATTGCCACAGCTAACATTACCCTAACACAGACATTAATACTCTGAAGTGGTATTAATGCTGCTGTAATAAAAATTGAACCACATGGCAGTCTGGAGGCAAGGACACTGGCATTGGAAGGTAAAAATAAAATGAAAGCCAGTAATAACTTGGAAGCAGACTTTCTAAGGAGCTTGAGATTCTAGGAGAGGAAGCTGGGAAAAAGTTACAAGTTAGACTATTAGTTGCCTTGGAAAAGTACTTGAGGAAACAAGAGCTCAGGTAAAAAGTAGCTAATTTGAAAGCAGACATAAAAAGAGTAAGATATTCAGGACCTTTCAGGATTGGAAAAACAAATTGCTTCTGAATCTTTAAATAGTAAGGGTTAACAAAACATTCTGAGAAACAGAAGCCCAATAAAGCTCAGTAAACAGGGACGCAGCCCCTCGTCAAAGATCAGATTGAAGTGCAGAGTCTGTTTCAGACAGCATCCGCATAGCTGCCACTGAGCTGAGAGGCAGCTGCATGAGGACAGAGAGGAGAGAACTTGGTAACTGTATAGAAAGATGCCCACCTCCCATTTTCAACTCTAAGGACTACCTTACACCATTTCCTCCTTTTTTTTTTTTTTTTTTTTGAACAAGAATATACAAAATAGGCACTTGAAGTGACAGTGAAAATAAAAGTAACATTTTAGTCCATCTCTTGGGGAGGGAAAAGAGAAAGAAAAATAGTGAAAAAAAAAATAAAAACCAGATGTTTTAAGACTTACTGGGAATAATCTGGGCTTCCTTTCAACCAAGGTATATGGTTTTGTCTGCAATAAAAGTAATGCTCTATTAATTATGGTTTTAGAGTTTCTTCTAAAATTATAGATCATATACCAAATATTAATTTAGTTTCCACCAGGTTTCCACCAAACTCCAGACTCATACAACCGTTTACTCAATATCTACTTGGCTGTCAAGCAGGCACCTCAAACTTAACCATGTCCAAAACGTAAGCTGCCCCAGTCCCTAACTTGCCCCTATCTTGGTACAAGACTCTTTCATGCTCCCAAATAAGTAGGACAAAAACTTTGACTTCTCAGCAGATCCTGTTGGTTCTACCTTGAGATTATCTCCTGAATGTGCTTCTCACCACCTTTAGTACTACTCCCCTTGTCCAAGTCCCTATCATTTTTCACCTGGGTGCCACCCTACAGTCTAATCTCTACACTGCAGGCAGAGTCAAGTAATTCTAACATGTATCACTCCTCTGCTCAAAGTTTAATTCTTTGAGACAAAGCCAAAGTCCTTGCAGTGATCTCTAAGACCCTTCACAATCTGGCCCTTGGCTAGCTCTCTGAACTCCCACCTCCTTCTCCTTGCACTATAGTACTTACACTATGGTAGCTCCTTTGCTATTGAACCAATCAGTTGGGCCCACTTGAGCCTCAGAGCCATTATATTTAACCAGAGACCTGGTGCATGAATTTCATGTACTGGAGGGGGGGGGGGTGTCCCTCAGCCCGGCCTGCATCCTCTCGCAGTCCAGGACCCTTCGCTCCTTACCGCCTGCCTGCTCGCTGCTCCTTTCCACTCAGCTTGCTGCTCCTTAGCGCTGCTGCGGAGGTGGAAAAGGCTCCTGCCACTGCACTTGCCAGCTGTGAGCTCAGCTTCTGGCTGAGCAGTGCTCCCCCTGTGGGAGCGCACTGACCACCAGAGAGCAGCTCCTGCATTGAGCGTCTGCCCCCTGGTGGTCAGTGTGCATCATAGCAACCGCTGTTCTGGTCATTCTGCCATAACAGCCACTTAGGCTTTTATTATATAGATGATTCCTCTATCTGAAATGCTCTTCTAGTTATTTGCTAGGTCCATGACCTCAAGTCATTTATGTTTCTCTTTAAATAGCACTTCCTTAGAGAGGCCTAATTTAAAAAAACAGCCCCTATCATTCTCTAGTCTTTTCCCTGCTTAGTATTCCTTCTACAGACTTATCACCTCCTTTTACACCTCTTTGTTTATCTATTTATTGGGAGTTTCCAAAACCAGAATAAACATTTCATGAGGGCAGGAATTCATCTGATTTGTTCACTGCTGTATCCCTGTTTAGAACAGTGCATTGAACATAGGAAGAACTAAACAAATATTTGTAGAATAAATGTATTGATTAAGCATATACATATTCATGAAATACCAAACCAAAAAATGTATGGCATGATATAAATCCAGAGAAACTGAAGCCAAAAGCAAGAAACTTAGAATACAATTAGAGGATATTAAAGTGTTTTGAAAAACATTTTACATAATACAATGTGAAAACATTAAAATGTCTTTAAGAATTCTAGTCTGGCTGGTGTGGCTCAGTGGTTAAGCTTGACATATCAACTAGGAGGTCATGGTTCAATTCCCGTCAAGACACATGCCCTGTTGCAGGACACATACCCTGTAAGGGGCATGCAAGAGGCAGCCAATCAATGATTCTCATCATTAATATTTCTCCCTTCCTCTCTGAAATCAATTAAAAATCAGAGAGAGACGGTAAAATTCAAGCAGGCAGTAAAGGTGTTAGCAAAGTGGCTGCAAGGGTTATTAAGAATGCAGTCCTGCCTAAATCAAGAGAAAATTAGGTAAGAGAGAGGCCTTCAGACCTATACGGACACAAAACCTTTAATTATGTCCATCTTTGACCCAGGAAAAATTTAAGCTGCACTGGGTCAACAATTCAATTAATATCAAAGCCATATTAATTGAATTGTTGACCCAGTGCAGCTTGTTAAATTCACTTCTATTAGGATACAAGTGTCTTTTCAATCCTAGAAAAATTGTTAAATATAGGTATTACAAAGTAGATCAAATCCAGAGTATAAACCGGTGAATGTCAAATTTAGTAAGTTCCAAAAACAATGGACATTTCATATATTGTTTATAGTATTTGTAATGTGTAAGGTAACCTGGCTTTTAGAGATTTTAAAATACTAAATATAGAATTCTAGTTAAAGTGCATAATTTAGACTTGTGATTTTAAGTTTTAAAAGATTTTGTTTCTTAATTTGCCCTATAAGTATTTAAAAATAAAATGTATAAATACAGTATGAAACATTTAAGAGAATTTGATTATAGTAGTAGGTATAATTGTCTTGGGAGAATTCAACTTGAATTAATCCAAAAATAATAAGAGCAAAGAAAGGAGACTGTTCATATTTTCTTAGCTATATAAATAGTTTAACAGAATTTAAAAAACAAATTTAAGTAATTAGAAAAACGGTTTTTAAATTTGAAACTAACAAGATGAATATTAATTTATATTTCAGATAACTGAGAATAGTTCTTTCGCATATAAAAATCACTCTAGGATGTTAAAAAAACAAACAAACAAAAAAAAACCTGACAGAAAATAATATATTTTCTTTCCTAAGGCCTTGCATGTGAGACCCTCAGAAAAAAATGCAGACCTGTAATGATATCAAGCAGCCTGTGGACTTGTAGGTGAACATGAATACAAAAGCTTTAAGCCCATCAACTATACAAATGTAAAGTATTCTCTGGACCTTAGACATATAAATTGTTAGCCCCCTTTAATGGTTGCAGAAAGATTTCCTGTGTGTGTGTGTGTGTGTGTGTGTGTGTGTGTGTGTGTAACACTAAATTCCAACTCTAATTCCTACATTAACCTCAGATTTCTAAACCTAACACACGCCCTGTCCACTGGGATATAATAACTCATGTTCCTAAACTTTACTTTCTCCCCAGGACCAGAAAGCCCTCCTTTACATAAATTACTCGGAACCTTGGTTCCATCCATAACTTAACCTGGGCTGTTTCTTCCTTTGAAAGTATCTCCTGGAAGGGCCCCCCCGCCAGCCTTACGGGATGGAGCCCCCGGAGGCCCACCCAGCCAGCCTGGCGGGCCACTGCGAGGAGCACTCCCTGGGAGGGCAGATGGAGGACATCAAGCTGGAGGACTCCTCGCCCTGGGACAACGGGGCCTCCTCCGCCATGCTCATCTCCGACGACGACACCAAGGACGACAGCTCCATGTCCTCGTACTCGGTGCTGAGCGCCGGCTCCCACAAGGAGGACAAGCTGCACTGCGAGGACATCGGGGAGGACACGGTGCTGGTGCGCAGCGGCCAGGGCACCGCGATGCTGCCCGGCAGCACCTGCCTGGACCGCGACTGGGCCATCACCTTCGAGCAGTTCCTGGCCTCCTTCCTCACGGAGCCCGCCCTGGTGCGGTACTTTGACAAGCCCGTGTGCATGATGGCCAGGATCACCAGCGCGAAGAACATCAGGATGATGGGCAAGGCGCTCCCCTCGGCCAGTGACTACGAGATCTCGGCCTTGTCTGGCTGAACCGCCTTCCCTGGGAGGGGGCAGGGGACCGAGGGGCCGGGAAAGGGCCTTTTTTTTTTTTTTTTTAATGTTCCTCTCTCTTGAGATTTCTTTCTTTTAAATTAAATATTTATTAGTACCTGGCTCGAAACCTCGTGTTTTCCTAATATAATACAATGCAAACTGTTGGAGAAATATTTAACATCTTGCTGTAGGGATAGGACTCTCTCTTGCTTGGTGGGGGAAGGGGGGTTTACCAGAATACAGTATATTCAGTGAATTCCAAAAAAAAAAATGAATCTGTCCGTGATATGTGTGTATTATAACGTCTTAGTCTTGCTGTCGAGCTGTATACATGGTTTAAAAAAAAAAAATAGTGCTGCTTAATGGTAAATCAGGCAGCAGCCGTTTGTGTAGTTGGGCTTTATAAGTAAAATGAGATGTGAGGGAAAGGAAATGTTCTTAAATGGAATGGGCATTGTCAGCTGGGGTAAATCCTAGACCACTTTGGGGAGCGTTAAAACTATTTTTTAAGCCGGGACCGGTTTGGCTCAGTGGATAGAGCGTCGGCCTGCAGACTGAAGGGTCCCGGGTTCGATTCCGGTCAGGGGCATGTGCCTTGGTTGCGGGCACATCCCCAGTTGGGGGTGTGCAAGAGGCAGCTGGTCGATGTTTCTCTCTCATCGATGTTTCTAGCTCTCTGTCCCTCTCAATTCCTCTCTGTGTAAAATCAATAAAATATATATTTAAAAAAAAAAAAACAAAAACAAAAAAAAACAAAAAACTATTTTTTAAGATTTGAAATATATTTCATAAAAAGTCCTCTATTCAAAAATTATATTCCGCAGATATTCCCCTCAAGGGGAAAACATTTGAGGTTCTAAACAGTGATGAAAGTGTGATTTTTTTTTTTTAAATATGGTGCCAGATTAACAGTTCTATTTGATCAATTCGGACAAATTTTGCATTTAAGAAACCAGCTATTTTTTGTGTTGGCTGCCAGAATTAAGAAAAAAGGAACAGCCTTTGGTTACAGAGGGCAACGAAGATGACTGAGGGCTCAGGATTTTTTCTGCTATGGGAGGGGAAACAGAATAAAAGTACTAATGTTTCTGATCCTGGATTTTCAGCTTCTTGTTACTCATTACAAATAAACCAAATAAATAAATAAATATATATATAAAAAAGAAAGTATCTCCTGGTTTCGCTTTTCTTTTCCATTCCTGATATCTTTGCCCTAACCAGATTCTCATCAATGAACACCTACTAAACGGTAACAGCATCCAGCTGATTTGCTTGATGTCAGGACTTCCCTCCCTCCAATTCACCCCACATTTTATGTTTTCCTAAATATATCACTTTTATAAAGTCACTTTCCTACTTAAAAGTGGAAAGCTTCCCACTGCCTACCACATAAAGTTTAACCTCCCCTGCCTAGTTTTCAAAACCTTCATTAATTGGTTCCAAGTCTTGGTTAGATATGGCTATGCTCATTAGTGACTCCATATCTTTCTTTGTAACTGGAATAACTTTTCTCCAACATACTCCTACCAGAATCACCTATCTCCAACTTTACTATAAACCCCTTGAGTTCAGGAATTTTGTCTTATATATTTTCTATAGCAATAAAGATAGAGATCATACTAGGTACTCCATAATTGTTGATCAGTGGATATGATCTGCTTAGTTAAGAGATCAAAGATGATGTCAGCAAGCAGAATTTTAAAGAGACCACACAATCAACAGAGAACAAGTCCTATTAAAAAGAATTTTTTGAGAACCCCAGTTATTTGTTTCATTCTCCTTTTAACAAGCTAACTTCAATGGGATTATCTATAATTTGTTAGGCAATCCCTAACTTGTGTTTTACCTTGAAATAATTTTAAGCTTACAGAAAATTTATTGGGAGTTTGAGCAAGAATTATAAAAATAATTTTTTTTTTTACCCAATTATTTCATAGTAAATTGCCAACTGGTTTACATTAGGTTATTTCTATAAATAAGGACCTTTTTTTTTTTAAAGGACCATATTCTTAAAATAACTGTAATAGAGTCATCAAAATCAGGAATTTTAACTTTTTGAAAAGCCATATATTACTTACATTTAATTAAACCTTTTACCTAAAAGAATTCAAAGTTGTTCACAATCAGTTACAAGAGGCGCATTATTTCCACTAAATAAGAGCAGGGTGAGGCATACCCACATAGGAAATAATTTTGTACAATATTAAAAATAAATCCTGAAAAACACATATTTAAAACATACTTACAGCCACATGATATTTTAAGTAATAATGAATAATCCAGGCAGGTACAAGTACATGAGTAAAAACAAGGAAACCGTGTCGGTATGTCTTATAGACCTATGGAGAAAAAAAACCATACACAAAATAAAACAGATGTTCCATCTTTAAAACATCCATAATACAACAATGTCATGGTTATTTAAAAATCTCTAAATTCTACAAATTTCTTACAGTCTGTAACTAACCTAACCCATTTAAACATTTTTACTAAACACAGGACCTGCTAGGGGATACCAAGAGTGCAGGGCAAGTTGCATTAAGACAAGTAGCATTTGGCAAAACTATAGAAAGGCATTTATAGATTTAAAAAATAAATTACTTCTAGCCCTGGTCGGGTAGCTCAGTTGATTAGGGTGTTGTGTTGATACACCAAGATTGTGGGCTAAATCCTCAGTCAGGGCACATACAAGAATCAACCAATGAATGCATAAATAAATGGAACAACAAACAAATTGATGTTTCTCTCCCACCCCACTTCCTCTCTCTAATAAATAAATAAATAAATAAATAAATAAATAAATAAATAAATAAATTTTTAAAAAATACTTCCTTATTATCTTTATTATAAGTTTATTAAAAATAAAGCATGGCATAAATAACAAAAGAATAATTTTAATCAATTTAACCAAAATGATCATACCTACATCATTTTTCAGGTAAAGTCATCTCCCTAATTTACCCACTTCAGATAATCATTTCAGATATTCTAAGTGTGAGGTGACAACCTGAGCACACCAATGCTAAAAAAAGTGTTTTACATACTGGGATAGAAGTGTTCCAAGCTTACTTTGAGATGCCTTTATACTATTTTGAGAAAGGCAAAGAGAACTAAGAGAAATGAAACTTTTCCAAGGCAGCCAATTTGGCTGAAACATACCTATTCTTTCAAGGAAAGGATTCTAAGTGTTGTAATAGATATGACTATGGAAAAAAAAATTAAATCAAAGTAAGGTAAGATCGATTTCAACAAATGATTATTTCTTTACATCATGGGAGGGATGTCTACTTTCAAACAGTGGCAACAAAGGATGAGAAAAGACTTGAATTATAATTTTACCACTATTAAAAAAAGTAAGCCCTACCCGGTTTGGTTCAGTGGATAGAGTGTCCGCCTGTGAAGTGAAAGGTCCTGGGTTTGATTTTGATCCAGGGCATATGCCCAGGGTTAGAGGGCGTGCAGGAGGCAGCCAATCAATGATTCTCTCATCATTGATGTTTCTCTCTCTCCATCTCTGAAATCAATAAAAATACATTTTAAAAAAGAAAAAAGTATCTAAGACCACTTTTTCAGAAAAATTTGCCCCAGGCTTTGTAGCACTGTAAGGAAGTAGATACACATAGATTTCAATATGAACCTCCTTTAATTCCTGCCTCTGTGACCAAGGGTAAACCACTGAGTTTTTGTAGGCCTCAGTTTCCATTCATTAAGAACAGTTTTCTGTCTTGTAGGAGTAAAGAATTAAATAAAGTAACACATGTAAAACCATCAGCAAAGTGCCATGCACTAAATAAGCATTCAAGTGTTATACATATTAGTATTATTCCATTATTATCAGTCAATCTCATAGCTAAGTGAAAGCAATTCTGAGATAATAGTGCTTATCACTCATAACTGATGCGACTTAATTAACGACCTCAAGAAAATATTCAGAGACCCTGAAAATAAAGACAGCTCCTTGAATGAGTGACTTTCTGCAGAGTACAGTGCAGGGATGGCATTTTTAAATGAAAAAGTGTATTCAACGTACCTACTGGTAATCTAGAAACGTGGCTCTTTCTTGAATATGATTCACTAAGCATGGCAACAGGATTCTGTCTATTTTGGCGAACTAAGAGAAGTTTCATTTCTCTTAGTTCTCTTTGCCTTTCTCAAAATAGTATAAAGGCATCTCAAAGTAAGCTTGGAACACTTCTATCCCAGTATGTAAAACACTTTTTTTAGCATTGGTGTGCTCAGGTTGTCACCTCACACTTAGAATATCTGAAATGATTATCTGAAGTGGGTAAATTAGGGAGATGACTTTACCTGAAAAATGATGTAGGCGATCACATGGGGCCTGTACCATCCGCTAGAGACTGGCTGTGCCTTATGATGGCTGGTTGTAGTGTTAGCTGGGTTAACTTCAACCTTAAACTAAGTGCTCTCAAATACTAAAATCGTGGAATTTTAACCAGTGAACCCTTGGCTATCAGTCTGAGGGAAGATCTGCACAATCAAGAGAAACCCAAAACGTGCTGTAAAACCCGAGCAGAGACCCTGGCGCGCAGGCCAGGACTCTTGGGACAAGGCGGCGTTCTGGCGAAGCCTAAGCCGCGGCAGGACCTCAGTCTCCTCCCGGGAGGAACTACCGGACTTTTGCGGGCGCAGAGCGACGTCCGTGTCCTTGGTTTGGCCCCAAGGAGCAGGCATTCCAGCAGACAGTCTGGGGGCCGAGGACGGTTGTGCGGATGGCCGGTCACTCACCAGTCTCCTCCAGGGGGCCGGGTCCTGCAGAAAGTTATTCCAGAACCTTTCCATAGGCCACATCCTCTGCGGGGGCAGCACCGGCTCCCGGGGGCTCAGCTCCTGGTCCTTCAGCCATCGCCTCCTCAGCTCTCGCAGCTGCTGCAGCCGCAGCTTCTCGTCTGGCGTGTACCCCGTCATGTCGCCGCCGGCACCCGGACGGCAGGACACGGCGCGCCCCCGCACCTGGGACCGGTCACGGCCGCGCGCTCCCGCTGGGCAGAGCGACCTTGCGGGGACGCCTGGGAGCGGCGCGCCGTTATGACGTCACTCCGGTCTGCAGAGGCGCCAATCGCCGCGCGTTCGCTGGGCATGCGCAAAGCCTGCGCCCACCGCGCTTGGGGTCGGTCCCGAGCGCCAGGGAGAGAAGGGGGGAGGAGGGCGTTAGATATGGGTGAAGGGGGAAGACGGAGAGGTCAGAGGACTAGAGGTTCTGACTCAACTGGAGCGCTGGGAGTTGGAAGGATGCGACTTTGTGGTTCATTGAATGTGAAGTACAAATGTAAAACTCTTTACTTGCCTCTCCTACCTTGGAATTCCTCTTCTTGTGACCTAGAGCCTGTGGATTCGACTCAACAATTCCACTTTTAGGACTTTGCCCCCAAAATACGGGGGTAAAAATATGAAAGGCATGTGCACGACTATTCACTGCAGCACTATTTATAATAAATACTGGAAATTACCCCAAAACTCCTCAATAGAGAACTGGTTGAAGAGATTGTGATACAACAACACAATGACGTGTTCTATACAGAACTGGGTTAATCTCTAAAATAGATTGTAAAGTCAAAACAGTTAAGGGGAGAGAGAATAGTAATACTAAGTATATAAAATGTTTGGTTATATTTTAAAAATAATGGAAAGGAACTTTGATTTAAAAAATATTACCTATGGGGAAGAAAGGGAATAGGATAGAGGAGACAGGGATAGAAGCTAAACTTCTTAGACTATATCTTATTTAATAAAAATGACTGTAGAACAATATAAACATTTCATATCATAAAATTAAATTTACAAAAAGTAGCCTCTGAAAATTAAAAGTAAAAACTCATGGATCTAACTGATGTGCTTCGTGGCATAATCTCAAAAACACATACCATTTCAAGTAACTTTATTTTTTCCATTATTTTCCTTCATTCTACTAAAATTTAACACATATATAACAAAAATACAAATAAATATCAGTATATATAGACTAATTATAGCAAAATATGTTTACTTTTATAGAACTTTGTTACTTCAGGACCGAAAATCTTACACATTTCAAGTACTTTTAAACCATCAAATTATTGTACACCTAAAGAGAGATATACTTCAAGGACAAAAAAAGTCAGCTGTTTTAAGTAATTATGTTGTTGGTAGAGATGAAGGTATTGTTAATCTAACACTGAAATGAAATGGCTTTGCTGGGATTTCTGTAATGGGTAAAAGGAGATACAAATGTAAACTGTGTGAATTTAAATAAAAACCCTATAGTCCTGAATTTTCATCAAAAGCATCATGATCAATTTTAGGCTCATTGAATAGCCAACCTAAGTAACCATGAACATGTCTAGTTCCTAGATTGTGACCTCTAATTATCATTTTTCATTCAAAGAAACTAAGATTTCTTGGAATGGCAATTCTCAAATATTTTGCTCCCCAAACTTCTTTAAACTCTTAAAAATTGTTGAAGACCCCAAAGAGCTTTGTTTATGTGGGTTATATTTATATTGAATTATAATAACACAAGAAATTAAAATAAATTTTAAAATAAGCTATCCATTAACAATTATTTAGTGAGAAAAGTGCCATTGTTTTTACATTTTATAAATTTCTTGAATGACTGGTTTAAGTAGTTACAGGAGAATTCTTATAACTGCTTCTGCATTCAATCATATCACACAATATCACACATCATGTAGCCTATGGGAAACTTCATACCCACTTGTGAGAGTTTAAAGGAACAAATAGCAATTTAGTGTTATTATAAAAAGAATTTTGATCTCACAGACCCCATGAAAGGATCAAAGGGACTTCCAGGGGAAGGGGATGGTCCCCAGATTACATTTTGAGAACCATTAATAGCTAATTCCAGGTCTGAGTTAGGAAATGTAAAAGAAGCTTGTTTTAACAAAAAGCAGGAGACTAGTAGAGTCAGGTCAAAAGGATTCAGGAGCCAAGCTGAATAGACTTCTATTCATCAAAGATTAAACAACATGATTAAAGCATTAATAAGTATAATGACGTCAGTGGATTGAAAAATATAAAATACATTCACATACATTAGTTTATAATGATTTTTAAAAATTCATTGGTCACTTTTAAATGGCGTTAGGGAATCAATTCCTCATTTGGAAAACTGTTAAGTAGAAGAAAAATTACGCATTTTTTCTGGTCTCTATAAGTTGCATCTTAGAGTAACAAGTTTATGAGAGGAAATTTCTTCAAAGAAGCAAAAAACAAAACAAAACACAAAACAAAGAAACAATAAAACGAGGAGGGAAGGCAGTTAGAATATCACTATTTTGCAATTATTAGTTCATTAATGAATCAATGCAGTGATCAATAGCTTCTGATATCTCAAAAAGAGAGCAACTGCGCTCCTATTGGAAGTTTACCTCATTGCCTGTGAAGTTACTTTTCAAGCAAAAAATTGAATCTGATCAAATTTCTAAATCTAACTACTCATTTAATGGCAATACAGAGGAACTCCTGTACAACACTGAAGGGATGTTCAGAAAAATCCAGATTGTAGAAGCTGCAGAGAAGTGACTGTTTCTTAAACAAAAAACAAAAATATCGAGCCCTAGCTGGTTTGGCTCAGTGGATAAAGTGTCATCCTTCAGACTGAAGAATTGGGAATCATTGATTGGCTGCCTCCTGCACACCCCACACTGGGGGTCAAACACACAACCTGGGCATGTACCTTGACCGGGAATCAAACCATGATTTCCTGGATCATAGGTCAACACTCAACCACTGAGCCATGCCGGTCCAGCATGTGATTGTATTTTTAAAGGGAGATTTACCTCTTAGAGATACCTTCTGAAGTATTTATGGATGAAATGATGTGCTATCTGGAATTTACTTCTTAGTAACTGGAGAGGGAGAAAAAAGTATGGTGGAAATAGATTAGTAATTAATTGGTAATTGTTGAAGCTGTCTAATAGGTAAATGGAGATTAATTATATGCCTCTTACATGATTTTGTATATGTTTGAAAGTCTTCCAAATGAAAACTTTTTAGAGATCTATGCCTTAAAGTAGTAAGTAAAGCACTTAAGCTATTTTCAATCCTCCTTCTGTTTTATAACAGCTATATTTCCGATGAAGACTCTGCAACCTACTTAGGCTAACTCTCAACTCTGTTATGAGGTAATCCAAACAATTGGTACTCAAGAGAGAGTAAGTCCCTGAGTGCTTACTCCCCCAAAAAAGGACTGTATGTAAGTCCTCAATAAGTCATTTGAAAACCCAAATAAATGTTTCCTTTGTGATAGAGTTAAAGACATCTAGTAATTTCTTGAATTTAGGGCTGGCTTTCTGATTAATTCTGGAAAACTACTCCTCTTTTCCCACCTCCCACCACCACCACCAACACATTTAAAAAGAAAAAGAGAGAAAATCAATATTGTTTTTGGAAAATATACTCCTGTACCACTGGCTGCTGCTTACCATATTTCCATCCCTTCCCATTTATCTATGGCTGTAAAACCATGAAGATGAGTGAAATAAAGCACAGTAAGGAGCATGTTCAACTTAGCAACCCTGGGAAACGTGTATTCACAAAATTAGATGGTCTTGCAGTACCTGGATAACTACTGAATATTCCCACAAGGGGGCACTCTGGCTCACTGAAAAATTAATGCAGTTAAATTGGGTTTTATGTAAGGTTCATTAACCAGCCCACAAAACTTGGAAAGGGCAAGGTTGGCAGGACTACAGCTACCTTAGTATTCTTTTGAGATTAATATAGCAGAATAAATTGGCTTCTCAAGCACTTAGGAGTCAAAGGCAATGTTCATTTACTCAAGTTTTTATTTCTAGTTGGATCCCTGCACATTCCATGGCCAGTGATGCCAATCAGACACTCTAGAAAGAGTCATTGATTAAAATCACTAATTCTAAAAAAGAAGGCAATTTTGCCTTGAGTTCTCTATAAGAATTTCTCAATTTTTTGTTTTCATTTCAACAATAATTTAAAACATTTAGTGTGAGCATATTCTGGACCATTTGGATAACCACCTTATTATAACCAAGTACCCACATTTGCGTGTATATTTACTAGTACAATTGCACGGGAGCTTAGTGGAGGCCATGTGATGATATGGTGCATGATATGAATAAAGTTTCACTTCATTCAAATAGAGGGATGAAATCTTGTATATATGGACTAGAAACAGTTCATTCAGTGAGATAATAAATATGCAAAATGAAAAAGTTTTCACTGAGCCTTCTCATTGTTTTAATATTTTGTTACTATTGCAATTTGGAGGGTGCTATTAAGCAGATCAACCCAATAAAACAATGAATTGGCTAACTTTAATGTCATTGCTTAGAAGGAACAATAAAAACAATGTTCCAATGCTCAATGACTCAAATAATATTCCAGGTTGTTAAAAATAAAGGCAATACACAACAAAGCAGAAAACCTCAAATGCATCTTGTCTGCATCATTCTTTTTGTTTTATTAAAACAAATTCATTTTGTGAATTTTATTAGTATTAGATTTTTGTTTGTATTTAATCTGAAATTTTTGATTTTGTAGTTGAAAAAAGAATATAGAGATTTTATGTGCTTGTGAATATTTAAGGAAAGTTATAATGAAAATTATTTTATTCTAGGAATATGCAAGAATTTGTCTGCTCTCCTTTAAAAGGGATTATTACATTGCTTAAAATTTAAAAACACTTGATATATTTCACAGAACATCAAGGCTAAATGTTTAAATCTTAAATTTTCTGAAATTTGCCAAAAGAACAAATTTTCTTTTCTTCCTTCCTTTTTTTCTCTTCTTTCCTTGCCCTCCTTCATACCACCCCACTAGCAACTATTTTCCTCTTTTATCTTCTTAATTTTAATTGGTTTTCTTGGATAAAAGAGATGGCTTGTGGATTATAACACAAATTTACATAATCATTGATAAACTTTGCTTTCACC